GTCTTCCAGTGTCGTCGGGCCCGATTTCCCTTAACCTTTCTTCGTAAGACATTCCCCTTAGCTTTGGAAGTAGCCTTGTTGCAAACCTTTGCACTTTCTCTAATTTCTTGACGTGCTTGACCAGGCATGGGTTCCAAACTGGTGCTGCATACTCCAATATGGGCCTGACGTACATGGTGTACAGAGTCTTGAACGATTCCTTACTGAGGTATCGGAACGCTATTCTCAGGTTTGCCAGGCGCCCATATGCTGCAGCAGTTATCTAGTTGATGTGCGCCTCAAATGTGCTCGGTGTGTGTGTGTGTGTGTGTGTGTGTGTGTGTGTGTGTGTGTGTGTGTGTGTGTGTGTGTGTCTGTCTGTCTGTCTCTGTCTTTGAGAGATATGTTCATGATTGCATTGTATTATTTATGAGTGACGTATGTTTACTGTGATCATGTGTTATTATTTATGATTGTTTGAGTATGTCTCTAAACTGAGTACTGTTGTCCGCTAATTGCATTAATTTATTTTTTGATTTTCCCGATTTTTTTTTATCTTTTCTCACGCCTACATCTACATCATATTTATTATACTTTTCCTCTCTCCTCTTCCTCACTGACCCCCCCATCCCTCCTTCGCTTTCCCCACTTTCTTTCGTGCACTATCAATCACCTCACCATATACACCGTTCTTCAGGAAGCGACAGGTAAATTCGCCGAGATCGGCAGGTATGCAGAGAAGCACGACGAAAGCAAGCGACAACAACTCTACGACCGCATCCGTCACACGGATCACGCTCTTCTCGGTTGGAAGACCAACCTTCTCTTTGTCATCAGGGACGAGTTTAAAGCTACCAACAGCTGTGATTTTTCCTTAGGTGAGTTGCCCTTTAAGCAGGCATATTTGTGTAATAGTAAAGGCCTCCCCATACCCTGGTTTGATTTTTATTCCTTCAGTATTCCCAGTGGTGTAAGACCCTTGTGAGTCTAGTGTTTTCTCATGAGCGATATACTTCTCAAATCATACGATGGGCGGGGTTAGAACCCGCGATCAGTCATAAAACTGCAGACCGAAGCGCTAGCCGCAGGGCCAGCTGGCTACAAGAAGATTCGTCCAACTAGGTATATTTATACACCATAGGAAGGTTAGCATAGACACCACTGTGACCACAAATGCAAGTTTTTAACTGACGAACTTGCATTTGTGGTCACAGTGGTGCCTATGCTAACCTACCTATGGTGTATAAATATATATAGGTGGACGAATCTTGTAGCCAGCTGGCCCAGTGGCTAGCGCGTCGGTCTGGAGTTTTAAACTCTCTGATCGCGGAGTCTAACCTCGCCCGTGGTATGGTTTGTTTGCAGTTGTGTCATTACGATTTATTGTGTCAAGATATACTTCTCGTTGGGTAAATATTTTTATCGTCAGAGCGACCTCTGGCTCACCAGTACACAGTGCCGAGAATGATAGAGATAAGATTCCATATCTAGATAATAAAAAAATATGCCATTAAGGAAGCTTGACTGGTATCTAGGAATATGGTAAATCCTGGTTAGACGCCAAATAAATAAAACAGAGAAGTCAGAGGCATTAACAGTGGAGATTCTTCATGACTTAGTACATCATTATTGGTACGTATTGGTAAGTAGCTTGTTTATGGAATGCGTGTCCTTAAACACACAATACTCACGTGTAACTTGTGTAAAAAGAATGACGTATTCCACATCATCAGTGTTGCAAGACTTCAAAGTTACACCTCTCCGAGAAGTAGGTTTTCAGGGATGGGTTTAATATGATGTTAAATTAGTGTGTTCGAAAACCTAGTGTAACTCCCAACCTTACTGTAAAATCCAGTGTTAGGTTGACCTTATGCTTGGTCTGACTGATCAACGGAACACGTCAGCCTCTATGACATGTTACTTTCAAACTTACTATACTTAGTATAAAAATGTTATTGTTACTCCTTTGCTAAGTATAACATTCAAGCTTGGTATGATCTTCAAGGTTCACTAAACTTGCAAGCCTAGTTTCAGTTGCGAGTTTTATAAAATTATTGAATCTTAGTGTAACTTTCAAATTAATTGTAATATTTATATTTAGCGTGACATTTCTTGCTAAAGCTGATGGTTGGTAATGTTTGTCAGGATAAAGGACAAGTGTTTCCTGACGCGGGTCTTAGTTATATGATGACCCGCAGCTGGAGCATTTCGTCATCTGACCGAGGCCTTCCGCTGGCTTACCGGTTCACCCCTCTAAAAATTATGGTTATAATTATAGCCATTTAAATTCTTAAGCTAAGCTTATCCATAAGCTATGCGCAACAGTGAGCTTACTGAATATCCCTTGTGATCTCGAAGCTTAATTGGGAAGGTTAATAATGGGCCTTTGAGACCCCTCAAAGGGACCATTCCTCCTTATGAAATGATAGAAAAAATTAATTATAACGAGAAAAATAATCAATTTTACTGAAAATATGCAAAACATATAACTATATAAATGTAAAACAATTCAACGTGAAATTTTCTTAACTAAAGCAAATACTGAAAAATAAAATACATAAATTAATTTCATGAAGCGAAATGACGATGGATGTGGCAAATAGCTCTCAGGATTTGTGATGAACGAGAAGCCTTTGTGAGACGACGTAGTCTCTGGTGGACGTGAATCTGTGTAAACTTCAGCTCTAAACAGGGTGTATCGACGCCAACAGTTGTTTCACCGATGGAAGATGCTGATTTTGCGTACTTTTAATGGTGGTTGGCTGATGGGCTTTGAAACCAAAAGATGATCAGTTATCATGGGCGAAGAGAGACTGTTGTGCCCAGTTAGATATGAGGATAAAGTTCTGATCTGTTGCTTAAATCAAACTGGCTGCATTGTCTCGCCGATTTCAAGCGACCCAGTTCGATCAGCAAGGCTAAAAAAAAAATAAAGTTTAAAACCCGGACACGCAGTCATTCTCGTGATAAGCGGAAGGCCTTTAAAAGAATTGGTGAGAACTAGAAAAATTACGTGAAAATACGTAAGTCAAATCAGATCCGGTTACATTAACACAAAAACCAACACTGTGATATAAAAAGAAATAAGAGTGGGAAACCATACTTAAAGACTTGGTAGGAGCAGGAAGGCAAGTAATGTCCAATGTGTTAGGAGGATCCCAGGTGAATTAACACCGACCGGGTGGAAAAGATGCTCACCAGTATGCAACAAGCATTCAACCATTTATACTACCTCTACCATTCATTCATGCTTCCACTCTTATCTAACGAACTTTACCCTCACATTAACGTAACTCATGGCTTATCGTGACTCCTAGTGACCCCTTGGAACATCATTGTGATCCCAGAGTTATGTGAACCACTCGGACATCAGTGTGACCCGCAAAGCTCCCAGTGACCCCCAAATCTTTGGAACCCTGATCGGATTGTGGCTTCTAGAGACCACATAGTAAAGACATCCTTAAAGATTATTTAACCCGCTAGCTTATTAGCGCGGGATAACCCATAATGCCTTCAGTAGGATTCTCTTCATGGGTCCAACCCTCGGAAGCTACTGAAAACAACCGATTAACTCCTAGGACTCTGTTTACTACTAGATGAATAGAGGCAGCAGGTGTAGAGAGACTTGCCCTTATCTCTAACACAACCTAAAAATTGAACCCCTATCCTTTTCGTTGTAAGATGAACGCTCTACGACACCTCTGACCTCTGACTTTTTCTTCCTGCAGGGAAGGAGGAATTTTACGAAGAGAACGTGGCCCTGGCTGTACCAAAGGACAGTCCCTACCTAGACCAGTTCAACGCTGAGTACGTTCACACTTATTTGTTATGCTTGTAATTTTTTTCAACTCTACATTCAGTGAATTATAGTATTATATATATATAATATATATATATATATATATATATATATTATATATATATATATATATATTATATGCAAACAATCGCAGATAGGCGATTTTAATTATGCAAGACAAGCCACGGGGGGTGGAAATCTTTAGAGAAGCACTTTCACACTTCTCAGTGGGTCATCAGGAGCTATTCAATGTTTCAAGGCAACAACTGAAGTAGAAGTTTTCTCAGAGGTTTCCTCAGAAGTTTTGCAACATTGCCTAGCTCCTGATGACGCACCGAGAAGTGTGAAAGCTTTTTAATTTCCTCTCGTTTTCCTTTCCCTTCTGATTGCAGGTTGAAACTGATGCAGGTCGGGGGGTTGATCCAGAAGTGGAAGCAGGACTACTGGCCTCGGAAGGACCGATGTACCGTGACGGCCCAGGGTGGTGGGGAGGACGCTACTAGGACCGTCTCTCTGGCTGATATGCAGGGCTCCTTCGTCCTCCTCCTCCTTGGTCAGTTCCTCCGGTGCGGGTATGAAAGGCATGTAATGCACAGTAAGATTTTATTTTAAACGACGTTTTTCTCATGACTGAACTATCAGTCCTGAGAGAAATGTCGCCTAAAATTTTCTCGCTCTGCACTACGTGTCCTTATACTTGCTTCCTGGCTTGTTTTTCCTAGCCGTCATCCTCTTATGTTTAGAGTTCTTTGCATTATAATTAAAACTTTAAGTAAAAAAAATCATCTTCAGGTAGCACGGTAGTGTGCTGCTACCTTTTGTGATGGTTACTTTGTAACAACAAGCTACGTGTGTCCTTGTCATACTCCATAACTAAAAATTTGTATGGAGTCTGTTCTCACTTGTGGTAGGTTGCTTCTTTACCACTTAAGCTGAAGGAATGTGCCCTGATAATCCGTACTCTCGCCTCTGTGTGTGTCGCGCCTACTGACTGACCATCTCTGGGGTTACCACTTTCAGGGTTCCTGCTGGCTGCCATCTTCATCGTGATAGAATGCGTCTTCAAAGTCTGGCGGGAGAAACATCCGAAAGGTTCGCGCCTCGTTTCGGGAGCACCTGTCAAACCATTCATGCCTTAAAAGACTTTAAAGTTTCTGCAAATCAGGGTGTCCTACACACCTGCCCTGCCGCATCCTTTCAGCCACTCTCTGAACTCACCCACCATGCTACTCTAGTTCCAGGCACCCTCATTACCTACACCACTTTTGACACTCTCCACCTTCACGACTGTTCATCACTTTCACATCTCACAACCCTGAAATATGAGGTGCTATCAAATTTCACACCTATATCTGTGGTCCAAGACCGGTACTCGGCATGATACCTCACACTCACTATTTCCCAAAGGTGATCATCTGCACCAGTGGCAAGTTCGTGACTCAAGTGGTAGCGCCTTCAGATGACATCTGAAGGACTTGGGTTCGATCCCAGCACAAGTAAAAACGTTGGACATGTTTCCATACACCTGTTGCCTCTGTGTACCTACTAGTAAATAAGTAGTTTAGTGTTGGCCGCGTCCAGGGAAAGAGGATCAAAGGACCGCAGTGGAAACAAGCAAGACTTGATGACGTTTTGGGGTTACTAACCCATCATGTGAATAATCCTAATTAAATTTCCCTCTTAGAACCCCGCCTGCGCTGGTTAGGTTAGATAATATTCTTCAGAAAATAGGACAAGTGGTTTCCTGATGCGAGCCTTTGTCATATGATGACTCGCCACTGGAGCTTTTTGTCATCTGACCGAGGCTTTCCGCTGGCTTACCGGTCCGCCCCTTTAAAAATTCATTTGATTTCGACCTGCTTTGGTGACCTTCCTCAAATATAAGACCGCTCCACATGAACCCCTTTCCCCGGTGGGAATTCAGAGAAAAGGTCTGTGTTTTTTAATATTTTAAACCCTCCCCAAATTTGTTAAGTTGGGTGTTAAAGGGAGAAGCCGTTTTTTTTTGGGGGCTTGGGGCCCAAATTTTTTTTTTCATGGTAACCAAAACAAGTAACCAAAAAACCCAAACCAAATTTCTTAAATTTTAAAATCGTTTAAGCTGGAAAAGGGTTTTAAAATCAGTTATTTATTTTGTTACTAGAAAAAAGTTCTTCAGAAAAAACAAAACTGCAAAATTTAACGTGACTGGAAGAATACACAAAACCCCAAAAATAGGGGGAAAAAAGGTTACGACAACGTTTCTGCCCGGGAGGGGGAAAACCATTTACTTTTGTATAAAAGTTTTTTCAGTTTTGGCGAAAAAGTGATTGTCTACATTAAACCCCCATTGAACGCTTGGAGTTTACATAACATATTTAATCTAAAAACAAAAGGCCCTTTTCATCTGTATTTTTGCGCCTGCCCCCAAATTCCCTTTTAAGGGGGTCCCTGGAAAAGGGACCTTTTGGGGAAACCACCCCCCCAAACCCGTTCTACTTAAACCCTCATTTCCCTCGACAGTGGAAAAAGAACCATTTCGTTAAGGCCCGGGGTTTTCTTTCTTGGTTTCTATTAGAAAAAAAAAATTTACAGCATGGTTCTAAGCCGGTCCTCATTTATGCTCTTTGTGCAAAAAAAAAACATATAATAGGACCTTTTATAAAACAGGTGAACTTCCTAGATTTTTTCCGGAAAACAGGCACATGCAAAAATTGGGGCAATGTTTACAACATTGAAGATAGTGCTCCCCAGCTCTAGTTTACCAAATTATAGTTTGAAAAAAACCGGTTTAAAGGGGGGGGGTTTGCTTTTTTTAGAGAGTTTCGAGGTTTTCCACAGTTAGGGTAAAAGTCTCGGCATAGTGCGAGCCTCGAGTACCCAGATGTTTTTTAATATCTTCGTTTTCATCAACGGGAAAGTCAAACCCCCGTGGGGGGGGGGGGTCATTTAGGCCAGGGGGAAGGTAGGTGACCCGGTTTTTGTCCAAAAAAGGGTTTGAAGGAAACCCAAAATCCTTGGTTTTTAAAAAAAAGGGTCCTTTTTACAACTTAAATTATCCCTCCCCTTTTCAAAGGTTGGCCCCACATAGTTCAAGTACTTTTTAAATTTTCCCTTTTAAAATTCTAGTTGCTGTTCTTTTTAAAATAATTTTGGGGGGCTTTAAAAGGGAAAGGGTTTTTTATCCAACTATTTGTCAAACTATCTAAAAATTCTAAAGGGAAAATAATATGTCTGAGGGGCATGGCTTTATAAAAATATCTGAATTATGCTTTTTAAATGTTTTGGCTTTTATAACTTGTTTAAATTTGACTTTTAATTTGGGCCGCTAAGACTATCAATTCTTTTTTAAGGGCATTATCACCTCGCCATACCTCGCAAAAATTACAGTGACTAATTTGGGCAAACAAAACCGTATGGGGACCCATGTTCATGGTCATGTGACCGATCATTTTCCCCTGCCCCATGTCCCAAACTCACTTGGGGGTTCATCGTCAGGAAGTACACTGACTGCCCCTTATTCGGCCCTTGGTATAATGTTATAAGAAACTTTTTGCTTATAAAGCATAAAATTTAATTAAAACTTTAAAAAATTTTGGAAAAACCTAAATTTCAGTCTGGGCCTGTTAAAAAATTTTTAAATTTTTTTGCGTGAGGTATTGTTTTTGCGATCGTACTCTAACGTCGGGTTATTCTGTCCACAGACAAAAAAAACAAGCACGGACCATTGCCCAATTGCCTGGGTGGTAACCACCACAAGCCACCGTAGATCCCAATTTTCCCCCCATTTCCCCCTTCCCCCTTTCACTACCTCCTTTCCTTAAACCAAAACCCTAGAGCTTTCACCCCCTTACCTTTAAACTTCAGGAGAGTATTGTCACAAAGAGGTAAAATTTCCCTCGGTTTCCCTTGGCCTCAATCCCGATGGTGCCTGAGTATAAAAAATTTATAAAGCCCACTTTAATGCTCAGACACTTTTCCCCGCTCAGGGTTGAGCTTTACTAAGGCTTGAAAAAAAGTCATCTTGAGTTACACGTTTTAAGATAGTTTTTAAATTTTCCTTTCTCTTTTATCTGTTTGCGGCTTGTTGCTAAAGGTCGCAAAGTTGCTTGTCGAAAATTTAGTTACCCTTAGTCTACCCTTTGGGGAATTCTCATAATCAAATTATTATTTGGGAAAAAATTGGATGTTTTTTTTAAATTTCCCCGAGGACTAGGTAAAACATTATCCTTGCCCACAAACCATACTTAAAAGAGAGACTGTTATAGGAAACATAGTGGGGTGTGGTGAGGGAAATTTTCATATTAAAAACACCCCGGGAACCCTGAGTGAGACGGGGCCGGGGGCGATCGCCCCCACGGGCTTTCTAAGGAAAAAACAACAGGTCATTTTATCAGGGTTTTCTGGTTTACAAATCTGGCCCGGGGCTCCCGAAAACCCAACGATATGTGATCCCCGTTCCCAGCTGACATCCCGTGAAAGTTTTTCCGTAAGCGTTCCTTGTTAAATTGTTTGCTGCAAGACCCAAGAAAAAAGGTATAATTTTCAAAATAACAAAAACCTAACGAGCCGGGGAAAATTTCCTGTTACTTCCTTTTTAGCTTGAACAGTTAGGCTTTTAAATTAAAAAAGGTCGACAGATGTATTTTGAAAGTTATTAGCGGGGTTTGCTCTTAACACTAAAAGTTCACAAATAAAACTTTTTTTCCAGTGCTTTTCAATCCCTAAAAAGCTAGCCCCCTTTCCGAACTGTTTTTAAAAACTTTAAAGGTTTAAAAATTCATTATGTGGTGGAGATACGGTAAACGGGGTTCTTGGCCTCAGTCCCCTCCCATAAAAAAAATTTATAAAAATTTATTTTGTTACTGTAGATTTTTATATAATAATCAACTTTTTCACCTACCTAAAAATGAACACGCGTCCTTACATAACTCCAAACCTTAGTTTTATTTAGCTTCGAAAACCTACATATGATTTTCTTAGAGACTTATAGGGGTTTAAAACATATGATTTTCTTAGAGACTTCATAGTGGTGAATATATGATTTTTTAGGGGGACTTATAGTGGTGAATTTCCCAGCCAGTGTTGGGAAAAATTTCCCCAATATTAAAAAAAAAATTTCCCGTTAGTCTAATTTAAAAACATTTTCCTGTTTTTTTTAAAATGTTTTTAAAAAATTTGTTTTAAACATTTTAAAAGGAAATAAAAATAGATATATTATTACTTTTAAATTTATTTAATTGAACTTTTTCCAAATTTTTTGACTTGAAACACCCATACTCCCTGCCCCAACACTGCCCCATCACACATAAAATCGAACAATGCATCAGAAAAAATGCAACACCGCAGTCATATTTACACAATATTGAAATCATTTTTCCACGAACCACTCTGGGTGTGTGTACACAAAAGAGGGACTAAGGGGATCATATATGTTAAATTTATTATTTTTTTAAATAATTTACTTTTCCCGGAAAAAATTTGTCAAATAAAAAGGTTTTTAGAAAAATTGTGGGATACTCTATGTAATTAACTATACTGCCTAACAAAATAGGTTTGTTAATGGGTTTAAAGCCTATCGACTACATTAGGGTCATTAGGATACACACCCTTTTCACTGCCAGACAAGTGTTGCTTTAATCCTTTTTTTTGGGGGTTTTAAAAAAAAATCTCACCCATATATCGGGGGAGAAATACCCCTCTGGTCCAAATAGCTTTTGTTATTTTTAAAAATTTCCTTATACATGTGTCGAAGCCCACTTTATTTTTGTATGAAAAATTGTGAAAATTAGACCGGAAAAAACCCATTTTTTTTTTTTTCCCAAAAATATAACTTATATTTTCCATGGGGAAGTGGGCAGACTTCTTCCGTAAGCCATGCGGGTTCTAAGAGGCGAAAAAAATTGCCGGGGAAAAGGGGCCCCCGAAAATCCTTCCCCCTGTAATATTATTTAAAATTTAAAAAAAAAAATTTCTTTTGTTTTTCTTTATCCCCCACCCTTTTCGGTTGGGATAGGGGCCCGTTTTTTAAAGAAAAAGAAACTTTTTATTTAGAAAAAAATCTTTTATCATAGTAATACGGGCCCATTTAGGAATAATAAACCCTTTTCGCAGTTATTTTTAAGATTTAGAATTAATAAAATTTTTTTCCCCCAGAGTTAGTACTGGGGTTTATTAATGGGCCTTTGAAGAGTATTAAAGTATCACAAATAAAAAATAAAAATTATAGGACGATATTTAATCCCCAGAAGGGTTTGGTAAAATTTTTTTTTTTAGCAAATAGGGGGAAAAATAAAAACCGGAAAAAATTATTTGTTAACAGATCCACTACATATGGATTACCAAATGGTGTAAAAATTTGTAACACAAGTAAAAAATTTTTCCCATTTTCTGTGCACAACATGGTCCCCAAAAATAGTTCAAAAACCATTGCCCCCGTTTTACTTTGAAAATAGGCAGGGGGAACCCTTTGGGTTAGTTTCTATTTTTAAAAAGGGTTTCCCACAAGGCGTAGAAAAAACATTGTTCCGTTTTGTGCAAAAACAGTGTTACTGAAAGGGACAGCTGAAAAACCCATCTTAACATTTTTTTTGTGGTGTGTGTGAAACAGTGTTCCCAAAAAGTAGGTGAAGAATTTTGGCCCCATTTCTAAGCACAAATTCGCTGCCAAATCGGAGAAACCCCCTGTATAGAGAGTTTGGTTGATGTAGAATTATTGGCCAGGGAAAAAAAGCTGTTTTGTTTGTTTGTGTTAAATTTAAATTTTTAAGGAAATTGGGTTTAGCTGGCTTGGAGGTGCTTTTAAAAGTTTGGTCTATCTCACAGTCAAATTGCTTCGTTTTTTTTTTTCTCTTTAGTCCCACTTATTCTTTCTTTTTTAGTGCCTCCTTTTCCCTTTTCGTTGCCCCCTTTTCCTTCCTTTGTG